TCGCATCTTGAGGGGGAAGGAATTTTATTTTTGGTATATCTGAAATCTTTTCTGATTAATATTTATAATATATTTTGAATACCTTGCGCACGTATTTCGAATGGCGACAAAATAATAGAGAATGATTACAAAATGAATATTCATATTCAATGTATTTCAAGTCCGTTTCAAGTACGGCCTCTTTTTGCTAAGGAATGCACTATCACATCGGCAGAGAGTCGTCTTCATCCAGCAGATACGAATCCAAGTTCTGATTAATCTGACCGCCAGCCTTTCTGGTGTTGGTCGCAATTTCCGCGCTTTTTTCCCAACACCCGCTGACAAAACCCATCTGCTTTCTCGTCCTCAACAAGATTTTCCGTGCTTTCCACTTCACACCAAGTCACGATACCTCAAATGCTTTCTCGTGCAGCGTCCTATAAGACTGCTACGATATTTGATCTGGGAGTCCGCGATCTGTCCCGTCTACGCGCAACCATGCTCCAACTTGCTCTCAGCAGGTGGCGGGAGACGGTGGCTATGAACGCATTTATGCCTTGTAGAAAATCGTGGACCGATCTTCTATCAGAGTATTCTGAATGTAACGACGTCAGGACGTTCAACCGCGGTGGGGGCACAGACGTAGGCCCCGGCGTTTCCAACACCTGCGAAAGTGTCCCGAACATAGCCGTCATGGAGCGCATGAGCTCACCGACGTCTATCACGTCTCCTGCGGGAGCTGGGGTCCCAGGCTCTGACAAAGTTCGTGAGCACACAACTCCGCTCACCGAAACACGTCCGGCGGCGTCCGACACTCGCTGAGCCTCGCTCTTGGGCAAAGAGCGAGGCTCAGCAAAGAGCGAGGAAGCCGTGCGCGCTTCTGAGCGAGATACGGGCCGAGCACTCAGGAGCGGGGAACCGGATGCAGGTGGTGTGGGAAAGAGCGCGGAGAGGAGATGATCGGGAAGGTGCAAGAAGGAGGGGAGCAGGAACAGGTAGTGTATATAGAGCGCTCGGAACGAGGAGTTAAAATGGCAGGAAAGCGCCCTTTCCCTCTCTTGGTGGCCCTGAAAATTCAGTGCAAGGGCTTTATATCCTGGAGGCGTTGAAGAAAAGCGCGCTCAGCGTCACTAAGAGACACTGGTGTTACGTAATCTGTTTCCATGCAAAATCTTGTCTTAGACACCACCTGAACCAAGATCACCACCCACCCCAAACGCTGAGAGACTAAGAGTCGTCCTGCCCTAGGCAGAGCCTGAACTCAGAGGATCACCCGACTTTTAAGGAGAACTGCACCGAAAGTATAGCCTATTTTATTGGCTAAATGTCAACCATCTCGCGACCACACCATAAAGTCACTAATTTTGAGGGCGGAAAGACACCAAACATTTTGTTTAACAAATAAACCTAATGGTGCTACGTCAAACTATCCCTAAAAGCAACGCAGCTCCGCGGATAAACAGCAGCAGGCTTTGTCCTCTCAAGCCCTGTCGAACTTGACCGAACCGGATTTCTCTTGTCTCTCGCGACTATTGAACTCGTGCGGCAAGTAGGGAGCAAAAATCCTGAACGGGCAGGTTCTAACGCGCTGACGCCACCAAGTGGCGAATTTCACAACCAAACCAGCTTCCCTGTAGCTTTGTCCATGAAGGTAAACGTGACGTCACGAATGCGCTAGAGGCGCGGCATCTTCCGAGTCGCATCGTGCTCTCCGATGACTGCTCTTCGAGTGCTCACTGCAATCGGATATTTGGAACGAAGCATATAGCCATTCGTTCCAATTACAAACGTGCAATTGTTGTTAGCTTATTTTGTTTATCACGTTTAACTAATATTTGAAAGTGAAAGACGCATTTAAATTTTAATTTTGGTATCATTTTAAAGCTGCCATGCCACGCTTAAACGCGTTGGCCAGATAATTAAACCTGCAGCCATATTTATTTTTTTTTTTTACCAGGGTCGCAGATTTATTTTATTACAAAATGGAATCAGCGCGCAAACTACGAAGACACAAGGAAGAGAAATTGACAGGACAAGCGCTGGACTTCAACTGAACGTTTATTGAAAAAGAAACTAACGAGGAAAACAAACGAACCACCAAATCATCACCCCATCAAAACGTGCTCAGAAAAGCTACCTCTCTCTTAAGTAAAAAAATCGATGTTTGGCTGACGCATTGGGCACCTTCCTTTCCTATCTCAAATGCTTCGAGCAGCTCGCGTGCTGTCTTATCGGCCCCTCTTCCCAAAATCGAGATGCGATCAAATATCGGCTCGCACGAGCAAGTGCTGCAGTGGAAAGGCAAGTGACCGGCCGAGGTTGATCGCAGCGAAAGCGCGTGTTCACGTGCTCGGTCATTAACACATCGGCCAGTCTGGCCGATGTATACTCGACCACAGCTTAACGGGATCCTATAAACTACCCCCATCGCGCACTCGACGTACTTGTTTCTGTGCTTTACGGAACATCTATTCCTTCCCGTTCCCCTGTCCGCCACTCTGGGGCATAGCTGCAGCATCTTGCTGGGCGCCGAAAAGACAACCGGTACATCATAGCGCCCCGCAATCTTTTTTAGATTGTGGGAAACCTTGTGTAAATATGGGATTACTTGCGGTCTCCCATTTGGCCGGTCTCTTGGTTGTTGGGGTCCCGTCTTTACCTTTCTTAGTAGCTTTTCTGCTACCGCCAACAGAACTGTCGCTGGGAAGCCCGCGGAGCTAAGCCGATCAATCTGCTTTTCAAAACTCTCCTGCAACGTGTGGAGGCAAGATTTTTCTAAGGCCGCCTGCAAACAAGATGACGCGATGCTCCTCTTAACCAACTTGGAGTGTGCGGAATCAAAGGGCAGGAGCCCTTTCTTTGTGCGTGGATGATAAAGCCAACACACGTGCCGCTCGGTGAACTTCATTTTCAAATCAAGATACTGCAGAAACAAGCCGTTTTGGCGCTCATGCGTAAACTTCAATCCCCCAGAATGACGCGTGAAAACGTCTAACACTGAATTGACAACGATGTCACCCGAGTTCCCTTCAGGCCTGTTGATCATCACCAGGTAGTCGTCTACGTATCTAAATACCTTGGTGACCAAGCTCGAATCTAAATTCTCGCTAATGGTTTTGTCTATCTTCGCCAAAAAAATATCACACAACACTGGAGCTACGCATGCGCCTATGCAAATGCCCTGTCTCTGCAAGTAGTACACGCCGTCAAAGCGAATGAAGGTCGACTGTAGATAAAATCTGAGAAGTTCCAAGAAGCTATCAACTCCCACACCGCTAGCATTCTGGAAACCAACCACCCCCCTATTTTCAATACAATCGCGTACCGACGTGAAAAGGCCCCCATGGGGAATAGAGTAAAACAAATCCACTACGTCTATAGAAAACGCAGTCGTATTCGTAAGGGTACCGGTTCTTAGGTAATCCACCACCTCCTGGGAGTTTCGCACCAGAAACGGGTCACTTAACCGCAGAGAAGCCAACTGCCCCAGTAGGTACTGGCTCACTGACCGTTGCCAAGTCCCCCTCTCAGTGACAATGGTCCTAAAAGGTGAGCCCTCCTTATGAGTCTTGACCGTGAAAAAGGCCTCCAAGTGCCCCACCTTGCTTTTCTTAATTTCCCTTTCTTTTTTTTTTTTTACTTAAGAGAGAGGTAGCTTTTCTGAGCACGTTTTGATGGGGTGATGATTTGGTGGTTTGTTTGTTTTCCTCGTTGGTTTCTTTTTCAATAAACGTTCAGTTGAAGTCCAGCGCTTGTCCTGTCAATTTCTCTTCCTTGTGTCTTCGTAGTTTGCGCGCTGATTCCATTTTGTAACGATGAACCAACTCGCCTGCATTGCCACTTTGATTTATTTTATTACCTGATAAAGGCCATATACATATATAATTTCAATGCACGCTGGACGAAACTTTCAAAGCGCCACAGGGAGGTGCCGATTTTTCCGGCCAATTTCATAACGAATTCGGATATTTTTTAAAGCGTGAAATCCCGATATCAAAACTTTCTTTGTTCATCTGTCCGTCCGTTCATGTCCCGCTAAATTTAACGGGGAAATGGACGGTAGGGGACTCGAGTCAACGTGACCTACATACTATTTCAGTCACCACGCTAATTTTATTAGCGAAATTGGCCGTCAGGTGGCCTAAACAACAATTTAACCTTCCCACAAAATATTTCGGGAAAATTAATGGCCCTTGACGTCACGGGACCTATATGCACCAATTTTGTTTCTCCGCTACATATGGCGAGTAAATTCTTGTCACGAGACCTGATGTCACGTGACATCAAATTGAAATGGTGAATATGTACCGCGACATCAGGTCACGTGACCTATATATTTTGACTTCGAGCTTTTTGGTTCAAAAATTTTGTGAGTTGAAAGAAAACATTTCCTTTGCTTTTGCATGGGAATCCTCAGCGCTGGGACCAGTGTGTCCAATGAATGACTCGATGGAGTACTCCTCCCGAAGGTCACCAGTGGTCGGCTCAAAGGCCGGAGCGAGCACTGACCAACCCCTAGCCTCTGCGGCTGCAATTGGTATGACAATTTTAAGATTTCTCTTACTCATGCGCTTTTCTTTATTTAGCTTTTAGCCTATCGTGTCTTGCACTGAATGATGTGTTGACATTGTCATGAGCAGCTCCAGCGGCATAGGAAGTGCTTGGACCATGAGAGGGTGATGGGTGAAGTGAGGGAGAAAAAAGGAATGGTAAAAAAAAAGAAGTTGGCCCTGCCGGCATTAAAAAAAATAATTAGAGATTTTCGAATGTCCCGTTCCTCCTTCCCCTTTACCTCGTACTGCATGTGCTACCCAAGTGGCGCTCAAAATATATATATGCATATATTTTTTTGCTTAAAGCGCACATTGAGAAATTGTGCGATCGATTCCGCAGCCTGAAGATTGTACCGTTAAAATGCGCTCTCGCTGCGTATCCCAAGATTGCTTATTCGTTTACAGCCGGAACTTTAATAAACAAAAAAGGGCCATTTCTCAGGACGATCATTATTTTTCATCCTGCAGAGGTGCTGCAGAAAGGTGGTAATGCCGCCGACGCCGCCGTGGCCGCAGCAGCCGTGCTTCAGGTTCTTCAGCCTTTCGCCTCGGGGATCGGCGGTGACTGCTTCTGCATATTCTATAAAGCAGCCGACAAGTCCGTTCAAAGCATCGACGGAAGGTTGTACAAGTGTTCTTACGTTATTTTCTTTGTGCGTGTACCTTTTTTTGAGTTTCAAAATATGGCCTGTAGTCTGCACTCCGTTTTACCTTCCGGTAAAACACGGCGGGGGCTACAATAGATTGGAGCCAACCCGCAGCTGTAAGCATGACACGTGACCTTCGGGTTGGCTGGAGCAATCTGGGGTGAGAAGAGTCACGTGACAGGCACTGACCGCTGGATTGGTTAAGGTGGCTCCTCAAAGTCTGTCGTTTATGATCGAAAACTCAAATGTAGTGGGAAAGCCGATTGTATGTGGAGCGGTACTGCGTAAGATTTTTGTATATTTCGTTTGCAACCGTCGCTCATATATCGAGAAATATCCCGTGAACGGCAGCTGAAACAGCGCGGTGTACGCGGGGGTATTTAGGCGCACATCGCAAGCAGAATTGTACCATGTCATGCGGGACTCAAAGTTTAAAAATGTGTACTAGAATTCATCCCGAAATCGGACGAATAAACGAACGTGCGAAAAAGTGTTTAAGGGTGATTTCAGATAAGATCGACCAAAGGGTGGCTGGTCGACATTTTTAAATCAACTGATGTTTTTATATGACTTTGTCTAGTGTCTGGTATAAACGAATCCACACTTAGTTTTGACCAGAAAAAAAATTTGGAGACAAGAAAAATCGTAAGGCAGGGAGAGGTGGACAGTTGCAATAACGCGCACTGATGGAGGGGGCAAGTTTGAAAGTGAATAATTAAAACAATAAAATTAGGAGAATTTTAAAACTTTTTACAAACAAACTATGGGTACAACTTGCTTGTAATATAAAGTAATAATGTTTATTAAAACTTTATTTAGTTTTCTAAAAATTGCCAAACATGCCTGCTCGAACGACAAATGGCAAACTTTGGAAATCTGTATCTCATGAAATAATTTAATCATTATTACATAACTTGCAGACATTATTTTACTAATATATGGCTAATATTGAAAAAATAAATAAGGTATCTGAGTGACACAATAGTTACAATATATTTAGGCAAACATGGGAAAAAAATCAAACAAAGAAAAATTCCAATGCGAATAAAAAAAAACAACACCACCTTCGATTTTTTTTAAATTTGGGTACCCTGTTATACTCTATTTCGGCATTCATTTCTATTAAAAACATGTTGCATCATTGCACTGTGAAAGAAGAAACAACTCCCCAAAGTAGAGTCCTTTTTCAAAGCCTACACTTAGCAGTGTCCTATACAAGAAGTGACTCTGAGTTCCAGTTTCATGAAACTTGCACAAATCTTTTATATACATTTATTCAGATGAGGTCATTGATAAAAAAAGCGATCGGTCACACAGTAAAAGGGAGGAGAAACTATATACAGCATTTTACATAAGCGTACAAAGTGGTATCATATTAGAGACTAATGATTTGAGAAAAGATGATGCAGTGTGAAGTTGTACCTTCCGGTATATTTTACATCTAGAGTAAAATAAATAACTTTACTTCCACACACAAAAACAAAGATATAATAGTAAGATATTTAGGTTGGCTGTGTATTTACGATTACAAACAATTTCAGGTGACGGATGCCATAGTGCCTAACTGGAGCAGCTTCGATGCTCTCGGTGTATGAATGAATCGTGGCAAGCCGATATATTTTATAATGCTCGAGGATAACATTTTGGGATTTTTTTATAGTGATCAGATAAAAATTATTAGTAACCACTAACAAAAACAGTAGGTTAAATACCCCGTGAAGAAAAATGTGATAAATAAGATGTCCCTGCATTCAAAATGAGCAGTCATTGGGAAATCAAATTCGGCACTTTACGCTAAGGCTTTCCTCGCTGTACCCATTTAATAAAGTTGCTTCCAAGCATATCCGACTGTCCGTGCTACATATACGTCACAGGTCCCTTCTGTTGATGACTTGCTGAGCCGCCACGCGTGCCAAGACTGAATGCCAGGGAAGGCGCGCACCGTCAGCCACTCTTCTTTTTTTTGTTCACGATACCGAACAACCTCATTTTCGTCCAGATATACAAGATGCACGCCTTTCAGTTTTTTTGATAGAACGCACACCATTGTCCTGGCCGTCTGAATTGCGCTTACTGAACGTTCTCTCAGGTTGTTCAGCGTGGCCTGGTGCTTCACGAGTCCGCCAACTCCGTCACATGCATTTTTCCCATGTCCAGATGCAAAAAATAACCACTGGGCTTGTGGGCAATCGTCCTTTGCAAATTGGTGAAGCTGGTAGCGATTCTTGAAATGACTGGCGGCGCCGTCACTTACGTACGTCACGTACGAGTATACCGCAACGTTGTCTTCAACCCACTCCTTCACTTTTTCTAGAGCCAAGCAAGCGTGAGCGGCGTCGTGACACAGGTCCTCACTGATGATGGCAAAGCTGTTTGTAGATTTGATTGTCGTCACTAGACATGTAAATATCGAAACTTGTTTTTTTTTTCCAGGGATATGCTTGCACTTCGTCAAGAAGCACGATGGTCCAGTTTTCAGCAAGGTCAAAATGAAAGACAATGCTCCCGCGTGGCATGCACTGTTTTTCATCGTAGATCGCTTTACCTTGCGTTTGCCGGATATGGTTGTGAAGTACCCAACTTCCAACCGTCACTTGGATGACTTTTAGTAAAGTCTCAGGTTCCGAAGTTTTTTTCACAAGGTCGCCGGACTCCCATGTTGCAAGCACAATCTCTTCATCCTCCGGGATATCAAGTTCCTGGAGTGTAAGAAACTGGCCTTTTGGGCAGTGATCACAGTCTCTTTGAAGGCACAGTTCTGTTGCTGGGTCGCACAGAAATGCCGAGTTCATTTCACCAGTGTTGAATGTTGAGCCTGTAACGTTTAGAGCGGCAATACAAAGATAATAATTGGCGCAGCGCACACAAACGCACACTTCCTGGTGTGGAATACATTGGACCCATCTAGGGCGCAACGAATAAAATTTCGTTAGCCCAACGCCGGAATCGGGATGCTTGTCTTTGTATATACGGAAGGCCTCTCGTATTGAGCGTGTCATGAAGCGCTTTGGCACGAACGTTTTCTCTCCGTTGAGCATGACAGAGATGACGTCCTTCTGGATGGGACTTTGGCGCGAACATTGTAGCTCGTCTTTCGTGAAGTACTCTAAGGCAGCAGACAGGTTCTCAGGGCTCACCTTGCACCTCGTGTAAGGATCCGGCTCATACCACACGCCATGCTTTTCCTTGAGTTTTCGGGATTTACTGATGAGGTACATTGAGGCCTGTGGAATCATCTTTTGAACCTCATTCTTCGTCAGTGTTGACGGCAGGAGTGTAAGCAGTTGACAACGTTCCCGGAGAGAGGTGGCGGTTTCAAAGGCCTGCCGAAAGTTGTCCACCCACTCAGTGCATGTGGAGCATGTTGGTTCGGACGACCCCGATGGTGCGCCCCTGTCGTACGCAATACGTAGCCTTGAGCGTATATTCTTGACAGCAACCTGCTCCAGTTCTGTCTGCTTTCTCTTGACATAGGCAGGCCTGTCCCGACTTCTTACGACGCTTGGTTGTCTCAGCGGCGACACATCTGTAGGTAGTATGCTGCGATTTAGATCTTCAATTGCTTCTTCAGCTGGCACAAATATGTCAGGGCACTGCTCTGAGCTTCGCATCGAGATCTCCTTAGTGATGTGCATGAAGCAATGGTAGCACAGAAAGTCCGTCGCACTCACTTTGGTGGAACAGTCAGGCGGAAGAATTTGCTTCAACGAGTTTAGGTCCAACTGGCCAACACTTCGAAAATTCCACTGCTTTGGTATAGTCTTTTTGTGTTTGCAAAAGTAATCTGCACAAAACACTCGTTCGGAGCTCCAGGACGTCTTCATAATGTATACATCAGGGGTGGCCAAGCTGCGGCTCGCGAGCCGCATGCGGCTCTTCCCGTGTTTGAGTGCGGCTCGCGGCTCCCTTCCCTACTCCCCCCCCCCCCCCCCCCCCCCGGTTCCTACTCCTCCGCCTCCCTTCTCGTCACACGAGCACTTCCCCAAAAAGAGAAATGGAACGCGTTTTAAATCGGAAAAACAGGTTGCGGTTTGGTAGTCTTGTGCTGCTGCTACCTTGCGTATAGTTGGACTGTTTTTGACTTGGATAGTTTGAAAGTAGTTCAAGTTTCGTTTATTGCTCTGGACAAAAGTTTGCCCCCCGCGGCTCTTAGAAGTTTCGTGGTTTTGTTTGCGGCTCTTAGGCTGGGTCCGCCTGGCCAGCCCTGGTATACATAAATAATAGAAATTAAACCCCAACTGATGGCATATAATTGCCAAGTGAAAGAACTACTGGGTGCACAAGTGACAAGTCCGAGGCTGAGGAGCTCACTCACTGCAAACGTACATTTGAAAAGAGAGGTCACAACTGAGGCTGTCGGCAAAGCTTGATCCACGTCAAAGGAAGAAAGAGGGAAAGTCTCCAGACAAAAAATTCTGGTCAGCGGCCTTCGAATAAGACTTTCCGGAATCGCACTGTCGTCCCTCCACGCGCTGATATGAAAGCACCCGAGCTTCTACCACGTGGTTCATGACACAGCCTGAGCCATGTCGGCGACCGGTTCGCGAGGGGTTGGGGTGGGGTTACGTTGATGGTCACTCGGATTAGCCCTTGCTGTACTGAGCTACCGCCTGCAGTGCCTTATCGCCGGCTGGTGTCAACAACGAGAACACACACACCCTGTCTACACCAAAACTACAAGCGTTCACCGCACACGCGTCGCCGCCGCTTTTAAGCTTTTGTGAAATTGCTTTCTTTTGCCGCGGAGAACCGCCTTATCTTAACTACGTGCCTGAAATCCTTCCAGGTGGGCGTACACAATATCAAGCGTTTCGAGAAATGCCCGTGGAGTAGAACTATGGGAAAATCCGGAGCCCGCGATGTCGATATCGTCGCCGTTGTGTTAGTACGCCGTCGCGTACTGCAGTCTCCCGTTGGGGGAGGGGGGGGGCGGTCTTACTACGATAACATGGCGACAGCGTTTACACTCTATGTATTTACGCGAGGCTCGAGTATTTGGGGATAATGCTGCCGGTTGGTGTGCCCCTTTGTGCCTGATATTATCGCCCGTGACGCCAGCGAGTGAGATGGCGACAGGCATGACTGCTCAGTAAACAGGCGTCGGCGGCCATGTTTTGCTGGTTGAAGCGAACCCCTTTGTCCTTGACAGCGAGCGGGGAAATGCGAAAAAAAGATTGTATTGGCCGTTTTGCCAGAACTAGCGACAAGTGTCGTCTGCGGTTTCCGGCAACTATTTTGCCATAATCGTGAGCGTAGCGAGGAAATGATTTTTGCTAGCCACAGAACACTACCACGCAGAAAGGGAATGCTTGAACATGTTTTTGTTCTGGATATATATCAGAGATATATATGAGAGAGAGAGAGAGAGAGAGATGAAGGTAGAGCGGAAGAGGGAATAGCATATAGTGTCGCAGGAGAATAAAGTAAACAAAGTTCCTAGTGGCCGATGGCTGCATGATCTTTTCTCGGATCACTAGTCCGTAATATGATACCTCTTTGTACACAGTAGTTTCTCCTTAATTTAAGTGTGTGAACGATTTCTTTAGTTATCATTGGCCTCATCTGAATAAAAATATATAAAAGATGTGTGTTGGTTTCATGAAACTGGAACTCAGAGTCAGTTCTTGTATTAAAGACTGCTAAGTGTAGGCTTTGAAAAAGGACCCTACTTTGGGGAGTTGTATCTTCTTTCTCAATAAAATGATGCAACATGTTTTTAATGGAAATGAATGCCGAAATAGAGTATAACAGGTTACCTAAATTTTAAAAAAATCGATTGTGGTGTTTTTTTTTTTATTCGCATCGGAATTTTTCTTTGTTTGATTTTTTTTCCATGTTTGACTAAATATATCCTAACTATTGTATCACACAGATACCTTAGTTATTTTTTAAATATTAGCTATATATTATTAGAATAATATCTGCAAATTATATCATAATGATTAAATTATTTCATGAGATACAGACCTCCAAAGTGTGCCATTTGTCGTTCGAGCAGGCATGTTTGTCAATTTTTAGAAAAATAAATACATTTTAAATAAATATGATTATTTTATATTACAAGCAAGCTATGCCCATAGTTTGCGCCTAAAACGTATTAGAGTTCTCCTAATGTTATCGCTTTAGTTATTCACTCTCAAACGGGCCCCCTCCATCAGTGCGCGTTAAGGCAACTGTCCACCACCTCATGCCTTACGATTTTTCCTGTCCCCAAGTATTTTTTCTAGTCAAAACTAAGTTTGGATTCGTTCATACCAGACACTAGACAATAACATATAAAAACATCAGTTGATTTGAAAATGTCGACTAGCCATCCTTTGGTCGATCTTATCTGAAATCACCCTTAATGCAATTTCAGACAAAAGCACTTTTTTTTTGCTCGAACTTACACGCATGGTCTCATGAAAAATGTTGTTGTAATTAACCTAGTACAGCACACACGTGAAGTTTGTTCTTCAACAAATAAAAGTAAACTTGCTTTTCTAAGTTCCTTTCTTTTGTTTTGTTTTTTCGCTTGCTTTTTTTCACAATTGTTTCAACCTGAAAGGCGTCAAGCAACGATTTTTTTTTTTAGCTTTCAAGTTTCAAATGTAAACTCTGCTCATCTATTCACTGAAGTAAGGCAATTAATGGATGATGGCCTCAAAGCAAATGTTTTGTCTGCTCGTTTAAAAAGCGATGCTATTGGTAACAATTTTAAACATGTCAAGTCATTGTTTTCAAACTAAACAAGAATATAAAATTGTAAAAGGGTCTTGGTTAGTTCCAATATGAGTAAGAGGAAGCAAAGACGATGATTCGTCTTGAGCCAGCATATCAGTAGTGATATTCATATACGGTAGCACACTCTATAATTTTGTTTTGTTTATCATGGTATTCGAGTTTCGTTTGTTATGAATATGTAGTCTACCTGTCTAACTACATTGTGACACTTGTTCAAATTCGCTTCACAGTGGAAGGAGTCCAGCGAGGCTGACCATGGAGCTGCTCCGGTCGAGGGGATTCGGCGAGAGAAACCTCCCCGGCCGAAGAAGCGGTCTCACGGCCACAGTTCCCGGGGCGGTCAAAGGATGGTTCGACACGGTGGAGCTCTTCGGAAGTAAAAAGGTACATCGGGAAGAAGGGCACGCCGAAAGCAAAACTCTGCTCATTGCAGTTATTTTTTTTTTCTGACAATCTTGAGCAATTTAGCAACTAAACCAAGGTGTATATGCTTAGTTTTACTGAGTTTCAAGTTTCGTATTTTGAGTACCTTATTGCAGTTGTCTTTGCTACCACAATTCTCATTCGAACCAATGACCTTGTTTCAGTACTCTTCTCTGCATGCGTAGACCATTCCCTCATATCTCGCTTTCCGCTGTCACCATTTTCAAACCACTTCGTCACGCACGCCCAAAGTTGTGAGCCCCTATCTTGGCGCAAATTTCGTTTTTCCCCCTACTGCAGTCAGTGGGACACTTCTCTGTTTTTGTGCCGTAGACCGCGCTTCGTATCGACGCGGAGCATTTTCGGTACTCCTCCAAAAGATTCCCCATTGACGTCACACCAAGCATCATGTCACCTGTTACCTGGCGTCAGCTGACACCACGACGTGGCTTTGTTAGATGAAGTCACGTTGCGCAGTGACGCCGCGGGACTTAATGACGTCGGGCGACACCCTGAGCCACGTAATGTCATGAAATCACGTGATGCAGTGACGTCACGTCACAATACGTCGTCAAGTGACAGTACGCCGTCACATGATACCATGAAGGCACGTAGAAACATAAGTATGAGACTGCTGCTACTGGAAACAATAAAAACAGAACGATTTTCACCAACAATGAAAAAAGGTTCTCGGGCGATGGAATCACTAAATCTAGGTGGGTGTTAAGTCGGCAACACCACGGGCGTCAAATCAGTTACAATCACTTGAAACTTGGGAGTGCGATTTTGGGAAGTGTTCTTCAGTGAACACCAGGTGGTGTTAGTTTGTGTCCAATCATAAAGCTTAATGCGTTCGATAGCCACATTAACGTAAGGGAACAGTTCATGCATACACATGCAGTTTCGTTGTTCCCTGGATTTAAAACTTGGGCGCAGGATTCTCGAAGTGTTCTTCAATTATCACAAAAGCAGTCCTAGTTTCTGTCCAATAAAATTGTTTAACTGGTTCACGAAATGTTCTCTACTTAATGAACCCTCATTAATTCCAAAACGCTTTGAAACTTTCGGCCGGTGTGTTACTCGGTTTAATACGAAACGTCTATGCGGACTCCATGGTGCGCGCTCGCACCTTTACCGTTCATTCAGTCCGTCTGCTTTGAATTGACACCTTTGCGGCTCCGACGTCGTGCCACAGCTGTGTCAGTGTTTCAATTTACAGGTTGTGTAAGTGCCTTGACTTTTTTTTTAATTGTTTTTGAGTATCGGTGGCTATAGGGCATCAGAAGTAATGGAGACTAATCGCATTATGTTAATCTGCTCTGACAATCGGAGGCATGTTGACATTCTCGTAGTTTGTTGCTCGTAGACAACCCCTCATACAGTCATCGTTACTCGAAAAAGGTCAATTCCGATGCCGATTTCGTCTTTTATAAATGGCGGTGATTAAACAAAATCAAACTTTAGTTAGGTTAATGCATTGTTGCCATAGCACCATGCATCGTCCTAGATTCAGGCTCCGACCGTGATCGTGCCGAAGCCGCCCAAAACCGCGCCCTGCTGGCCCCGTCGCGCTGAGAAGAGCACGACCAAAGTTAATTTCAGAGCGGTCTAGAGCACACTGCTTCACATTATTTCTCCAATTCCGCTGATCGGTGTACCTATACGATCAAGGTAATCGAATGAGCGATTCGGGTCAGAGGTTAGCTTCACCGTAAAAGCTTGATTAAAAGAGTAAATGATGGGTATAACGAGTTCAAATAGGCACTTATGTTCTCCCAGGTGTCACCCAAATCTCGGCGGAAAAAGATCGCAATGCCGCGCCCGCCAAAGTTTATCGGCACGAATCCGCCCGGTGGCTTTTGTTTGGACAAATCGACACATGGAAATTTCTGTCTTTAGCGGGAACGACTGCCGGCTCGCACTATTAGCATGTGATTATATATAGCTTTTACACTAGGTTGTCTTGAATTCAAATTAAATCTTCCTTTGGCACATCATCCAGCTTCAAGCTTTTGCCGGCATTCCAGGCAAGCGCGTCCGGCTCGTTAGGCATACGAAGGTTCTCGAGGACACTCTAATAACACGCACAAGCTCACTCAATCTTGCGCACTGACGTGGGCACCAAACGTACCGGTGAGAACAGCTAGCCTAGAACACAAGCCAGGAGCAACATATTAAAATCACGAAAACTAGCGTCCCTCTGGTTCCGTTATCCCGACATTCCGAACGGCGATCCCTGAAAGGGGCTGATGGGGCGCTCGCGCGAGGGCCGCAAAACCGGTTCGCCGGTTCCGATACTAACGCCGCCGAGATGCTGGCGTTCAACACGTGCCTTTGTTTCGTTTTCTTGAATTTTTATATTCTTTCGGCACATTTGAAGCCTTTCTTTTTAGCCTTTGTTGGTAAATACGAACTTTCTTTTTTTAAGAATAGGGATACTTTATGGTGTGACACTTTATTTAGACTGCATAAATGAAATTATAACGGTTCCCTGTCAATGCGGCCAATCACAAAGTCGACCGTAAAGCGAAACCAATTTGCCTTCAGCTGCGCATTTTTAACACTGTTGCGCCAACAGACGCAGCGCTGCCTTTGCACGATCGAATTTAAATAGGATGCGGTAATACTTCGCGGCTATGTACATGACCTACCAATGAGATCATGAAAAAAAAAAACGCAGAACCTCGGATATCGTTAGAGAGCCCCTTTAAATAAATGGTTAGGCTCTCATAGGGAATATTATTAACAACGCAATTATTTAACAGACCTGGGACGTGAAAGTTGAGTGATAAAATCAGCTAGTTCGAAAGTGTATAAAGTCCAGCAGAGTGGCGAATTCTTTTGCACTTAATGCTGCCTTCTCACTGCGCGACGTTGTTAGCACTCATCGTTGTCCATAGCCCAAATTCGCGGTAACCCTGCGAATGCATCATACAAAATCGAAATTGATGAATTGTATTGAATTGAAAATAATGTAAGTCTGCAGACACTGGTCTAAGAAATGTTCATATTAACGTTGTAAGTAAGCGTAGCTGCATTACTGAATCATGCGACAAGAGAGAGAAACAATATTTAACCCTGTCCTCTGCACAGCTGGCGATTCAGGCTTCTGGTGATTTTTTTCTTGAATGACCTCCCAGGAACCGATTAAAATGTTTGGTAGACACGTATGTACCTTTTTGGTTTAATACGATGTCGTGGCATTTAAGTACACGACAATGCCTGGTGCCCTGCCCTTTTGCATTTAGTTCATTACTTTACGAAGCACAAGGCCAGCACAACAAGCGCACCATCCTCCCGCTCATCTTCTCCTCGCATTGCTAACATGTATGGGCGGGTCTCGCCAGGGGGAGGAGTGGCGCTGCGTATGCATGCGCTGCGAAACTTCAGCCGTACAGCCCTATATGTTGGCAGGACGGAAACATTCCTTCGGTGCCCATAGTCCAGCAAGCAGCCTCTCCTGCCAGGGCTTTCTATTGAGCGTTACGTCATGGATTAGTTCCCCGTGCCCGCCAGAATATCGCAAACAGGAAATAGGACACCGTTCGCGACTTCCGGATGAGTTCGGCGAGCACTGTACCTTACATATTGCTTTAAATGCTACTGCATTTACAGGGACCACCGAACCATTAGATTGTACATGCCTGTCCATCTGAAACTAAATATTGGAGAGAGTGTCCGTATAATACTCGATAGTGGATAATAACAGACATGTATATGCTACCGAAAGAAGTAACTAAATACTGTTAGTTGTATCTCGCTTAAAAAGTAACTATATACGTTTCTCGTTACCGAACTCTCAAAGGGAACTCATTACTTTACCTCAAAAGTAGCCAGTTACCTTTCTCGTTACGTTGACGACTAGATGCCAAACCGCCTGACTGTATTTTATTGTGTATTGTTTTTGTTTCAGTAGTTGTTACATTTAAGCAATAGCTGCCTCTCAAGTTTTTTTATCACATATGTTTCCCGGCTTAATTGATAATTCATCCTTGCTGACGCTGAACACTCGTTCTACTGACGCGCTCCAATGAACGGCAGTGTTTTGCTTCAGGAAGAACTTGTGAATCTGAGATTCCCATCTCTGTTTTGTTCTATTTGCTCCTCAAGCTGAAAGTTGACAATGGGTTCTGTGACTTCCCGCCTCGGCAACCTCCGGGTTTAGATTCGGCCTGTACGCGATTCTAGAATGTTCAAACAACGGACCTTATTCTTTCCTCTGGATGAAGTACATTCCCAGCTGTAGAGTTCGACTGACGTGTTCAGAGATAAACACTGCTATACTGTCATAGTATTTAGTTGTTTTTCGGGCTGCCCATATGCCTTTGTCGCAATAGACGCATACTCAGGTTAGAAATAAAACGAGAATCTTTAAACTTGTTGTACAAGTTACTCCTCAAAAGTAACGAAATTACGTTACTCCTTCCGTGGCCTTAAAAGTAACTAAGTATAAGTTGCTTGTTCTTTTTCAAAAATAAAAATAAAGTAACTCAATACGTTACTCGTTAGCGAAAAACCTAATTAGCTAGAAGTAACTCATAACTAGTAAGGCGTTACGTACATTTACGTACATAAAACATATATGGCGAGGAAAAGGGCGTCGTGCTAGGAGAAGCATGCTTCAGCGGGGCAGGTGACCTCAGCGCGAAGATTCTGCGCGCATTCAGAGCAGGCTCGCCGTCCTGGTCTGGAGGAGGTGACGTAAGCAGCTGGGTGAAAAAAGAATCAATATTTTTAGAATTAAAATTAAATATATCGTATTTGTTTGATTGAAATAAAATTGATATGTTTTTAAGATTACTTTGATTTAAATCAGATAAATGTTATTTAAACCACGATAGCACTAAAATAGATGTACTTTATCACTAAATGTGATTTTAACCCTGTCATTAACAACTTTGTATAAAGTAAACCACACCAAGCAGAGGAGAAACCATAGAGTTATTACTATAAACGCTAGGGGCTCAGCTTGCGCTAGTGTCTACGGGACTTCCGGTTGCAAATTGAAGCAGACGGCATGCCGTCTACTTTTCGTCTTCCTGTGTATTCCTACGGGAAAACGCGCGTGAATTCTGTCTCGTCGCCGGAAAATAACTGAAATAACTTTTGTTATTTCGGTTGTACCGGATAGTATGTACCTTCATTAATATTGTGAAAGTGTAATTGCTTTAGTTAGAGCGTTTTTCCTTTACGAACGAATGATGCTAAACTTCGCTATATTTCAGTCCCAAACCTCTGTTCCATGGCAGGTATGCAAAAACGAGCGACGATTCTAAGCAAAAAAAAAAAAAAAACGATCTAAAGGAATGCAGAGTGTGTTCAAAGTTCGCCAGCATTCTGCGGGTGCTTATATATCTTGCTAATATGCCTGTCCTCTCACACTATGAAAATGACCCCGTCGTGCATCTTTACCAGTGGTTAAAAAAACGTTCGAAACGTAAAGAATAAAGTACGTGAGCTACGAAAGGTGTGTTTTCTTATTATTTCCTATGTTTTGTTAGTTTTTATCGCGCACCCGTTCTCTGGTTTCCCCTATTTGCAAAGATTTGGGGCGTGCGGGTGATGATTTCAACACCGAACATGCATCTTCGCACATATTCATGAGCAGAAAGAATAAAGCAGGCCTTTTGTATCGCAAATCGGACTATATTACGTGACGTTATATTTATTTTGATCGTCTGCAAGCACAAGGAGTTACTTATCCAATGCTATTGCGTAGTCCTTGCCGTCTCTCTTGGTTTTCCACATGTCCTTCGTTTGTTTGGCACGTATATCCCCTATGCTGGAAAGCGTCGACGCCGTGTTCGCGCTAACAGTGTCCGACAGTGGCACATAACTACACGTACGATGCGGTCTTAACACCGTTTTTATGCCGCGAATTTTAAATAAAAATGCTGTAACTGACCAATTATTTCGTCTGCGTGACTGAAAAATGCGACAATGTGCCTAGTACGTACAAATTATTCGTGATATTTGCTCATATTTTCGAGCGCAGAGAGGAAATGCACTCGCTTTTTCCTATAGAAATGCATTACCGGAAGTTAATTTCTGACGGCTTGCTGTCTGCTTCAAAATGCAACAGCACACGAGCGCCAGGTGAGCCTCTAGCGTTTATTGTAATAACTCTATGCGAGAAACAGCCTGATTTCTTTCCACGTTAAAATTAAGCATTTTTTTTTTGCATTTTCGTTTGCTTAAATCGGAAGTTTTTTTTCTTGTTTCTTTTATTATTTCACATTTGCATTTACTTGCAAAAGAACGTCACGGAAATGAAGAATGGAGTAGAAGGTAGAAATAAAGTTCAAAGGTCCGATTTGCTCGGAAGACCAGGACGTTATGCTTGCATTCAGTCGGATATAAGTCGGTCTTGCTTGATCACTCTTTGATTAAAATACAAAATAAATGTATAGAGAGAGCATCAATTCATAGGCGAATGGTAGAATAGGTTGTTTGATTATTATTTCTGCTGAAAACGTCTCGTTTAAATCATCATAGTAAAACTAATGTGATAGAAATCATAATTTAAATCATCTTGACTGTTATTATCTTGCTTTTTATGCCGTTAACAGCTGCGCCATCATTAAAGAGAGCGCTGGATCTAAGCAAGGAATTGGCGCGAAAAAAGCACCGCGCTTGACTAGACCGAAAGCGCCCAGCTTAAAGACGCCCGTAGAGCGCTCCAACATATCTGAGACAATACCCCGACAAGTAATACCAAGTGCGCCCGCATTATACCTACTTTGCGAACATTCAGAGAGAGTGAGTGAATACAAGTATTTATCTTTATCAAAGGATCATCCTCCTTGGCCGAGTTATCCTGAGGTAAAGGCATCGTTAATGGGCTATAGCGGTTACGCGAGATGATGACAACCACACTATGACGTGATATATCCCAGGTATTCTTATGTAGTAAACCAATAAGTCGAGGATGGCTTTCCTAGTCTGGAAGAGCTCTTGGATAACGCCCAGTCGTCTAGAGACATCGGTTTTTTGCCTTCCCGGGGGGGGGGGGGGGGGGGGGGGGGGGCTTTGGTCGCTTTCTTTTTCCGTCTGTCTAGACCATTATAATCTTTGATTATGTGCTGGTGAGGGAAGGCGTGGTTTTCCTGAGTTCATTTTGCCCCAATCTGTTTGCAGGTTACCATGGCGGATATTTTGGGACCTGCCATCCGCTACGCTGAAGACGGCTTTCCCGTGGGTCCCATCAGTGCCTTCCAGTGGCAGCGTCACGAGGCCATGCTCAGAGATATGTATGGAGGCCACAGCTTTCTCCGATTTGGAAGGGCCCCTCGTTCCGGGGACGTGCTCACAAACCAACCTTTGGCTAACGTACTGAGGGTGAGCACGAAGCCTTGTGGCGCTGACGAAGGGAATTTTGTACATCTACGTAAGCAAGCGATATTCAAAAAGGCGTACTGATTAGGTGATCTAGCAGTGCGTAAGTGCTAATTATACATGTGTTAATGAAGCTTCTGAAAGAGTTGATTCTGAAAAGATTCAGTCAGGCAAGATCAACAAGCGTGGCTGACGGAGATATGTTCGGATTACTGAAGGGTCACTCGATAACCCTACTTGTTGATACCTCAAATATTACCTAACTACTTTGACGCGAATGTGCGCAAAATGTGGGTTGCAATGTGGATGACAGACGGCCACACGGTCTTGGAAAGAAGACAGCTGTTTCGATACTTCTGGAAGTATTTTTGCTGCCGTCTTCGGCAGGCATACTTTCCCAAAGGTTCCCGGACATTTCATCGGACGCCCTTTCGTCGAACGCCGTTTCATCGAAAAATGGACGCTTCATCGGACGCCGTTTCATCGAACGCCGTTTCATCGAACGCCGTATTATCGAACGCCGAAAATCGAACGCTGACGGCTGTGTCATCGAACGTCTTTTATAGAAAAAGTGTGAAAGATCGTCCCTTATGTACCGATCGAGTGCATTTCGTGATCATTCACCCATTTCATCGTCAGGTTTTTTAATGTCCAAACTTGTAGCTGTTACAATTTATTTTGATGCAAGTAACCCATGATGATATTTGTATCGATTTTAGGTTTGTTTCGCATATTTTGCTCATCTGTTCACCCCCTCTGTATTACCCGATGGGCCTCGAGAGTATTGTAACAAATAAATAAAAAGTCGCACTCCCGGTAAGAGCGCACTCCAATTCATGGAGGCGAGAAGGCGACTTAGGTTTTGCGCAGGCGCAACAACTTTAGCCCTGTGAGCCTCCTAGCCTCTCATATCTTTCTATTGATACTCTTTTACTGCTGGAAGCTTGATGTAGCTAAAGCTGAGGTGCTATTTATGAATCAGGGAATCGGTGGCCGAGTGGGCTAACGCGTCTCAGCTTGGAGCGGAAAGCGAAAGTTTGCTCTGGGAACCTCCTGTGTTCGATCCCCACCTCCCCCACCCGTTTCGATCTGCACTTACCGTCAAGAGTTCGTGCAGTCACTACTGCGCAATGCACGTTAAAAACCCAAAACTCAGCGGTTGTACTGCTCTGGCTAAATTCCTCATCTACAGCTAAGCGACCGGTCACCCGTTGAGGGCCACAAACATCAAGGCTGTAAAAATATACAAAGCAAGACTATTTTCCTCCGGGAATCGCTGCACGTATTTTAGAGCGCAGCTCTTAGGCGCCTGTTTCGGGCTTGAGCGGCGTCGGCGTAACCGCGCGGCGCATTATGGGTAATTTTCCCGAAGGAACCCGAGGTTTTTCCGAAGGGCCTCGGGTTCCGAAGGACCTCGGGAGGACCTCGGGTTACTTCGGGAGGAACCCGAGGTTCCTCCCGAAGTCACGTGACTCCCTCGGGAGGAACCCGAGGGAATCACGTGAGTCTCCAAGGTCACGTGACCCCTCGCCCAGGTCACGCGCCCCCCCCCCCCCCCCCCCCAAGGTCCATGACACCCCAAGGTCACGTGACCCGTCTCCTAGGTCTGCGGCTTACGCTTCCTACGGTTTACGCTTCCTTCTGCCAAGTGAAGTGCGGTAACTGAATGAACCTTTACCGTTCAGTATTGGTTTGAGAGTAAATGAATCTTGTACCCTCTCTTCGTTCTAACCGTGGAAGGAGGGAAGATGTTTTTTTGGGGTCAACTTTGGGGCAAAAGTTAACCAACGAAAGGGACAAGGGCGAGTTTGGGGTAGGCGTGTCTAGATCACAGCTGCTCAATGAGCAAACAAATCGTAGGGGACGTTTTGGGTGTAAAACGTGTGGGTGAGGCCTTCCGCGGTTAGAACTCTCCACTTAGTTTCGAACCTATTCACATGTCTAGGTGGCAGCGTATATTTGGAAAAATGTGGATTCACAGGACAAAAAGCTATAGAAATCCTCTCCTAACACAAATTTCTCGAAAAGTCCTTTTGCTTCCCTTTAAAAATGTAATCTATTCCCTAAAACACATCCGTCATTTCCTCGCTGATTAAGGCCTTGTCGGCAAGCAGGCACAAACTGTAGGTTCGTAACAAATTAAACAACTTTTTTCTCGTAAAAACAACTGCGCAACCCCAGTTTTTTTTTTTTTTTTTTCCGGCTTGCGTTTTTTGTTTGTGAGGCGAGCATGTCGACCAAACTGCGTCCCTTCACGCGTGAAAGATGGAAGGTGCGAAAAAGTGAGCACTCTCGCTGCACATGAGAGAAGGTTCGAAGAGGTGAGAGTAAAAAAGATAACGACGACACAAGCTTCTCCTTAGTACACACAATTCCTCTTTTTGGTGGGTAACATATAAACAACTCGGAAGTGAGATTATTTTTTTTTCTAGCACGTTTTCTAGTTGCTATTTGGCAAAACAAGCTATCCTTTGAACTATTTCTTATTTCTACTTTCAAAACAGCTTGTAGGTAAAAGAGAAAAGAAACGGGTGGATTTTAGCAAAATGTAGAATATGCAAGGAAGTTTCTGTTACAAATAGTAGGTAATGCCGGAGATCATTGCCCTGACGAACTCGCTTATATTGGTTAGAGAATGCAGTGGGAAAATACAAAGGCTTCCGTCTGTGTCTCTTCCCAATGTCCGACAATCGAAGGTCGGCTCCGTGACTTCAATTATAATTAGAAACCTTGAGACCGAGAACAGAAGGGATAAGGAAAACACCGTCTCATTTTATTAACAAATCAACCACCTTGTACTTTTCTAAACGTCTTAAATAATATTGTTCGTGCTAAGGGTTTTTTGTTTGACATATATTTTATTTATTTACATAAATACCTGCAGCGCCGTTAGGCATTATGCAGGGGGTGCAGCAAAATATGGTGCAATAACAATACATATTTATACAATAGATAAACTGAACAACAATAAAACATGCATTATTAATCGCGGTGACAGATTTGCTGTTCATCATAAAACAGATCATGATCAGTAATAGATGCAATTTCTTCCCCAAGTGTGTTCCACTCCGTAATGGTTTGAAGAAAAAAGTGAAAATGAAAAAAGACAGTATTGTAGCGAAATTCCTCGGCTTTTCATTAGAAGGATCCCGTCTTGCAGATGCATAGCGGGGTTCAAAATGTAAAGACTTCTTTCAATAACAGTCCGCCCGGAATATATGCTGTAAAAAAATTTCAATCTGAAGCAGTTTCTTCGCTCTTTGAGTGAATCCCAACCTTAACTGTTTTTCATTTTTGTACTACTTGTATAAGGGCTGTAATCACCTGTAACGAACCGTAATACCTGGTTTTGAACCCGTTTCAACTCTTGTTCAAGGTAACTTTGTGGCGGGTCGCAGATGACACAAGCATATTTTAAAATTGTTCAAAAGAAAGAAAAATTATAAAATTGTTCAAAAGAAAGAAAACTATGTTTGTTTTACACTGCGAGACATAATTTTTTTTAAATTGCTGCGAATAAAATACAAAATTTTACTAGCGTTAGCAACAGTGTTATTCACGTGATCATTTCACTCCAAACTAGACGACAAATAAACTCCCAGGTACTTATAATTTTCTGCACGGTCAAATATCACATTTTTCAGTTTGTACTCTCCCGGGGAAGATGGTTCTGTGAGAAAAACGCACGTGTTTAAACTTGGAGATATTTAAGCTCATTTCCCAGCAGTCACACCGGTCTTCGAGCACATTTAAATTGTTTTGAATCACACTGGCGTCCACGCCATTTTCTATATTTCTATATACTATGCAGTCGTCCGCGAAGGACTTAATATAAGACTGTATCTTTTCATAAATACTGTTAATGAATATTTCTGCGCATGCGAGAGCAGCACATTGTCGCAAGTGTCAATTGTTGAGGCAATGAAAACTGAAGCAAACTAAACGCTTATTGGGGCGAACTGGATCCCAAAACAAAACAGACAAAAGCTAGCTTCACAGGCGAAACGGCAGGATCGAACTTCCGTTCGATCCTGCCGGCGAGACTGACTCCGCTCGCCATGCGGAGTCCCTTATGTACCCATTTGAGCTTCTCCGACATTCCGCGTAGAACATTCGGAACTCGATCAGGCGACAATGTTCTCGAACTTACAAACAAACGCCAAGTTGAAAGAATAAATAAAAAATCATTCCGCTGGCTGGATTGGGACCTAGACCTTCAGCGCGACATTCACGCGCGGTAACCATTCAGTCATGCACGCGCTCACTCGATGACGCGCGTGGATATATAAATTTGTTCTTCTAAAAAAAATGACCCCAAAATTTTAACTGAATTCATATGAGAATACCCCAATACATGAATCAACTGACGTATTGGATAAATGACTGATTTGTGTATCCACCAGACGCTGTCCAAGGAAGGTCCAGCTGCCTTTTACGAGGGTCCCGTTGCTCAGGCCGTGGTTGATGCTGTCGCTGCCGTGGGGGGCGTTCTTAGTCTTGAAGACCTCAAGAACCATCTCGAATCATCGGAGAACCCTGTCGTTCCAACGGTTTCCACAACCTACCATGGAGTCAGAGTCCACACAATGAGACCTCCCAGCAATGGGGCTATACTTCTGGAAGCACTCAACATCCTCGAAGGCTGCGATTTAAAATGCGAGTTCTTTTTTTTTTTCAATTTGTGTCATGTCCATTTTTGACTAAATGCAGGGCTTTACATATTTTCTAGAAACACGGGGTTTCAACTTTAAGCCCAGACTCAGGCGACGCTACGAGCTGATGGGACCAATCAGACAGCTTTAAAAACACACCATCATGGTGTTCGTTTCGTTTCTCTACGTGTTCGATTTTCGCCGAACCAATCATAAACAAAACAAAAAGACTAGTGGCTTGCGCTTTTGACGCTGTTTGATTGATCCCATTAGCTCATAGCGTCATCTGCGTCTAGATTCAAGCTCAGAAGAAGCATACAAACCCTCGCTTATGCGGCATTTACAGCACGTTCGAATGTACAATATTAAATTTATCACATTTATCTCACGCGTACGCGGTATTTATTTTATGTTTTTCACATTGTTCTTAAAAACCTGCTAAGGTTACACAATGCAGTATAATCACGGTAGATATAGGAAGCTAATCGTGACGATAAGTTGAATCCTTAAAAAAATTGTTGAATGGTTTTAATTAGTGAAAATGAAACATTGTTTAAACTAGAAACTTGCTGAGCGTCATCAGAAACCACGAAGTCAGTAAAGTTTAGAAAGAATCGCAGGACATGGGAAACCCGGTGGTACGCTAAGCTTATCACTTGTACAACACGGGCAAGGCTGCAGATGAGAAAACGTGGATTATAATTTTATCATCCGCGTCCATCGTTCAACATCATCAAAATTCAACGCATACCGAGTAGCATCGTCTCAAAGAGGGGATTGTTCGGCCGTTTTTACGCATTCGTTCATCTTTTAAATTTTGGGTACCCGCGCCTCGCTAGGGAACACTTTCAGGACAACCTAGTCCCAAACAAAAGCTGTGATATACAATTTAGAGTCTTAGAACGCATCCGAGTATGATCGCAAATACTTCAAAATGATTCCTTTTTGAAAACAGCGGTCAGAAAGTGGGGGTGGTGCGGCCGTTTTTATATTTTCGCTTATCTTTTGAAATTTGGTCAGCAGAACCTCTCCAGGCAACTTTTGGAGGACAACGCAGTTCCCAATTAAAGCCGTAATATAATATGTAAATCCCTTGAGCTCGTCTTGGTACAATGGCAAATACTTGAAAATGAGTCCTTCTTGAGGAAACCGTTCCCAAAGTGGGGATGGTTCGGCCGTTATGACGCATTCGTTCATCTTTTTGACATTCTGGCACCCGTGCCCTATCCAGGAACTTTATGAGATGTGCAGACTGCTTAACTGGTAACGAATTACAAATTTTAGGGCCCTCGACTACAAGATGCTTCTTGGTTTCAAACAGCGCGACAATACAAGGACCAAGCAAAGACGAGAGAGACGTCAGCGATGACTATTATCTGGAGGTTTATGTTCGCCACTTCTAGTATATATGCGCATGGGCCACAGCTAAATAAGCAGAGTGCGAAAAATGACACAAAAGCACCTGCTGTCTCAGCATCTAATTAGTTAGATTATACTTTGGTGTGTCATAGGTGGTCTCTAACGTACACCGGTAAAAATAAAAAAAAAATAAAAAATATTTATCGGAGAGACCAACGGAGGCCGTGCTGACACATTTCTCTTTCAGCTTGTTTATTTCATAGCCTTCTACCATCTCTCGAGCTAGTTTGTCACCGTTCCTTTTGAGTATTTCGTTGTTTTCATAATAAATCCTCTAGGATGAGCCTTCGTTTTAAAAGCCATATTGAAGTGACATGGTTCGACTGTTTTGAGGCATTCGTTCATAATTTACAACTTGGCACCAGCGCCTGATACGACGATGTTTTGAAATCGACCGAGGTTTCAACTGGCGACGAAACACAAAATGTATGGCCGCCGACTTCAAGCCGCTGCTATTTCAAAATCTTGGGCTTCCACCCTCTTCGAACAATGTGATATGAAGTCAGATATTTCAATATGCATTTCTACCGAATTTTTGTTTCTTTTGCTGATCACGTGCCGGGAAATTAAAATAAGCAATTCAATGCAAACATTTAAAACAATATTTAATATTACGTTTGACATGCGTGCGTTTAGTTCACAAGAACAATCATGCTCTCATAAATTGGGTACTCACAGCCATGCAGTCATTTTCAACATTACAATAAAAATCACTTTGTTTTAATCACATGACATTAATATTTTGGCAAAATATTTTTAAACTTTTTTTTTATAATTTTCGGTTATCGTAATATAAAACAGATCTTTTTGCTAGTTTGTTGATGTCAGTAGCAGAATCTTGGATGTGATCATAAACGTCTAAGCGAGAACGAATCCACCTTAATTTTCAAATTGGTTACCGGAACTTTAAGAAAGTAAACTAAAAAAAAAAAAAAAAAGCGGCACCCAACACATCATCGATTTTTGTTTTGTTTACTGCAGTCGTATTGCAAATCTTTAACTTTGTAGTATTTTTAAATTGTGCTCGTTTCAACTTCGCTATTTCTCAGAATTTTGCGTGAAGTGCATCCGAATATATTTTTCTACATATGTATAACAGAACTTAGACACTACAGAATTCGCCATAATATTGTTGAGGGTGGCCATTTAGTTTATACAATCATAACAATATTTTTATACCTAAGATTAAACTGTACATTTCGATTAACTTGGATACTATGCGTAGTGGAAGTACATAAATAAGTTTATTCGACTGAAGAAATTACAGTTTTCACGTCATCATCTTGAAATTTCGGTACAAGAATAGCAGGATGTGATAAAGGGGGTAGTCGCATGGCAAAATATTTCTAGCATAACCTTTCGATGTTATGGCTATATTTCTATTTTAAATACATGGGCTTTTATGGAAGTGCTACCTTAACCCTCTGAGAGATTTCAGCATTAAAAGCGCTAAAAAACGAGAACCAGTAAAGACACACACAGTAGAGCGCACTTGCAACTGAAGTTTAATCTGATTTCAACCAAAGAAGAAACAAATATCCTTGTCAACAACCATCCACGTCATGTAAACTCATTGTCCAATAATCTTAATATAATCTTTCTAGCTTGAGCTAACAAAGGACTGCATATACGCCACCTCCGAATTGTACAATGCTATCGATGGGGCGCCGATGCACGTGCCGCCGTCGCACTTCCTTATGAGAGACGCCTCCAAATTTTCCCTAGCCATTTTGTTACGATTCCTGCTAAGTATAACAGTTTCCTGAAGCTTTGGGCCAGAATCGCATCGGTTGCAGTGTATCGCAAGATTACCCGAGGGCGATGATCCTAGTGACAGTGCGTGTTCCCTCTAACAGATAGCGCAAGCATACTATGGCACGAATTTCTAGGGATGCATAAAAAAAATTAACATATTCTAGCTTGAGGGATTACATCTCGAAGCTGAAAACTTTGTAAAGTTATAAAATAATTTTGCCTCAAAAAAGTAGTACGTGAGGCACCGAATAATTAATAACCACCAGTCCGCTGACAACCAAGCTGACGACTAAACCTACAGAACTCCAGGGGCACTTACAATGTCGCGTAAGCGACACCATCTTGGCGTTGGCCTAATTCACTATTATTGTGGCGCCATTGTTTCTGCGTTCGATCCCAAGGGCCTTTACGCTACTTTGGTTTCCTCTCAGCCCCGCACCCGGGCCTCGTCCGTACCTCTACGACAAGCCTCCTCGGCCAATACCAGTTAGAAGACCATGCTTCCACATGATGTTATAGTTAGTGGCGCCCCGACAGACCCCAAGCGGGCAAAAACGCTGAATCTCGACTAGAGATGCCGCATACCAGCAGACGTGTCCGTGTTAAGATGCATTCATGCCGGTGTTCGAATCATAACCCCGAAGCAAATCCACTCGTTCTCATCGACAAACGGACGTGAAATCGTCTTGTATCTTTGAACAAGTGCGTTCGGAACTGCTTTGAAGACGCGGCTTAACAGCCAGCTTGAATACGACGTTAGTATTGCGGTGTGCTAAAGTAGCGCTCGCTGTGAGACGCTGCTGCACGCCCTGGCAGCTTTTCCTTAAAACTCAGCTATGGGGGCAGCTGCTGGGAGCAGTGGTGTAGTGGATCTATTGCCAAATTATCCAAGCATCAAGGAGATCTGCAGCAGTAACTGTTCTAAAGAAAACGCCTAAAACCATTGGCGTCTTGCAGGCGTGTTCTTCAACGCTTTATTCTGGTTGTTTATTCGAACTTTTATGCGAACAATGTAGCTCGTGTGGAGGATAGACCTATATTCCCAGCGTTCTTCTTAATGCTATTGATGACGTCTTGGGAGTTTTTACGAAGGACGACTATGCAGTTTCACTGTGAGGTCTATACTAACCGCTATCGCCATTAAAATGAATAATGTGGAAGTAATACAGTTGAACATCTTGACGCTTTTCACATTTTTCTAAAATTTGATCATTGTGTGGGTTTTACGGTGCTTATCAAGTTTCTAATTTGAACCATATTTTTATGTTTAATAAATAATTTGACCGCAAAAAAAAAATGAAACTATGAACAAATTGTCAGCAGGAAATAAAGCAACATCATCTTTATTGCTGCAATTTTTTAGTCGAATATCTACATTAAAACGTCATATATTTCACCAAAAATGTGCTTAGAAACGAAAGTGATAGCTCTAGAGCGGTCGCGTAATGGGGGACAAATGGTGCCGGCACGCACCTGACGACGGAGGTGCCACGTGGTAAGCCGTCGTAGTTGGCGCCGTGGTTGCCATTGACGCCCACCACCGGTGACCCGTGGAGCAAGTGGGTCAGCGCGGTAGAAGTTCCTAAAACCATCCAACATTACGTGCAGCAACTGGACACTGCCAAAGTTGGATTTTGCATAACCCGAGTAATGTTTGGAAACAAGTCTTTCAAGCAGACGACATGAAGAGTCTCCCTTCGTCGCGCCATTCTTGGCGGGACGCCAGGACCACCCCCTTTGCTCTCTTCGCGCTGCGCGGCCGATCGGAAGTCCCGACTTTCCTCTCCTCGTCGAAAGAAAGGAGAGACAAATAGTTTTTCCATTCTTCGCGCGGGCGACGACTAAGACCTTCGAGGACGAAATGCCTGCAAAGTCTCACCTACAAATCTCTGCAAAGTGTCTTTTTAAAGCTATCACGTTAAGACCTTAATATCCTAACAAAGTAAATTGTGTTGTTGTGCCATGGGGTGTTGCATCTCCTCCCCAATAGCCCCGTAAAACGACTTCGCTCACTCATGAAGGTGCACAATTTCTTTGTGTGCCTAAACATTAAAAAAGTGTCAAGCACACAGATGAGCGCATGCCGATTTAAAACTCGAACTCTTCATACATTTTCAGGCTATGACAAAACCTCTGGCGAATATTTCCACCTGCTGATGGAAGCATTGAGGCTCGCTATCGCCGACGGGCTAAGCTGCCTGTCCAGCCCACATCCTAGCAGCCTGACGTCGGTGGATCAGATGACCTGCAAAAAGCACGCTGAGGACCGTCGTGCTCTCATAGACAAGACGCGGTACCTGCTGTCATTATCACCTAGGGACACGGTTTCAGAGATATTCTGACTCGGGGCATCATCTTCCAGAGAGATCGATCAAGAATATCGAACCTTTTTCTTTGATCCGCGTAAATAAACTACGCGTTGCGGAAAGCTGGAATTTCCTGAAAATGTGACTCTTGCGATAGTGATGAAATCAGAATGTGTGAGCGCGTGACGTTACCTGAAGCAAACCATACAAGACAAAAGCCAAATTAATTTATGAGTCTACGCGTACTACTTAGACTCTTATTCATCAAACCTTAATATGGGGTTTCTGATATCGGTATCATCTATTTTAGCAGAAAAAAAAATGTTAGCAAGTAATAAAGCAACTCCAACTTTCTTACTGCATACCTTTTTTTAACTGCATTAAGCGCTACAGCCGCTTTTAATCTTATATTTAGTTTCGATGGATATTACTCTTAGGTGGACGTCGGTTCATACACGAATGTTGTTTTGATTTGGTATAATTTGGTCCAGGTGACCTCATGGGCTCACTCTTTCGCGTTTTATCTCCACCCCTAGCAACACGTTCTCACGTAGTTCCAGGTTTCTGTGATGCATAAATTATTTACGTTGGCCGAAGAACCAGGCTTAACTTTCTCGATGGATCCCTTCACAAGGCCGCAGTGGTATATCTTCTACGTTACCTCTTTTGCAGCTCGGCTCGAGACTCCCGTCCTCACTCTTTGAACACGTGACCCGTCCGAACGCTCACGCAGATCTCCCCCGAGCTGGCTTCCGTATAGGTCACGCAGGGAATCGAGCATTAAAATCAGCGCCAACAGAAGGGAAAATTGAAAGATGTTCGCCATAAAGTGTTTTGTGTAAAATTAGCGAGACAAAAGGCGGGTAATAAACGAAGGCGGTTGTGAGAACATACAGGATGTTCTTAAACGTTACGGTGTTCTTGTTCGCCAGAAAAATAAACTACGTATCTCCGAACACTAATTTTCCAACATATGTAGAGCTAGCGTTGGGAACCAGTTTCCAAGCCTTCAGAACAAATCGTAGTCTCAGTTATAAATAAATTTCTGAAAAGTAGGGCCCATTTTTGCCGGTTTCCGGTAACTGACGCCAACGAGCTCCAAGTATTCGAAAGCTGGGTCGGACGCCATACTTTTTCAATAAAAAAAAAAAGAAAATCACATAATTTTTTGTAACATATAGGTTAGCGGTGAAAGTTTGGCATCCGTTTCGGACCGCTCGTGCAACTTTTGGGTGTAGAATTAGCGTTCAGCGAAAGTTAGTTCAGTTGTAAAAAAAGAAAAAAAGAAGTTGAGCATCACATGGGAAACCATGTGATGCTTCCTTTTGTTCCTCTGTGATTTTTCTTTTTCTAATTTGTAACGGAGTTACCAACACACTTGCCGAGACAAACTTGCCTTTCAACTAGCGTTTTATTGAACAACTTCCTTTGCATTCCCGGCGTAGTTATGTGCGCTGCGTGCCAAGGGTAGGGGCAACACGGCATTAGCACTCTCTTATATTTTATCGGGCAGGGTAACTTCGAACTTTACTGCCGAAGTTCGCGCCTTTGGTGAGCACTTTCAAATGCAGCAGTAGTTTTGTGAGGCCGCTGCGACTATGGGAGCTAAATCGGGACAATTAACGTTGACTGCTCATTCCAGTTAACTGTATCCTACAATACACAGCTTGTCTCCGCCCCCCCCCCCCCCCCCCCCCTTTCGAACCCCCTCTCTTCTAAAAAGTGAAACAAAAAATCTAGAGTGTTTTTTTTGTTTTTGTTTTGTGTATCTCAAATATAAAGTACGGACCGCTGAACGCTGAGTCTCCGCTAAACGTAGTGCTATCGGTCCAGATTCCAGTCTCATTAATGAGAGCTATGTTAACAAAAAGTAATAAGGGATCTTCAGCGCAATTGAATGGAGAAATGGGGCCCACTATGGATAGTTTTAGCCCTTCAGCCCCATATGTTCGTGGGCCCAGTAAAGGTTCTTTCAATATTCTTGAGAATAAATACGTCGCCGCTGAGTGTTTCTCGTTGAAGAACCTCGGGATGTCGAGCAGTTCTGCTCTCTGTGATCTCGCTGTCAGACCACGAAGCCTCTCAGACATCGTGAAGGACAAAGTAGATTGAATTCAAAAATATAAGAACTTTCAATTACGCAAGGGTACAAACTAATGAAGTACAGGATATCGGTGCAATTGTTGCCGAAGCGTGGTTGGGAGGGTGATAATGAGAAGTCTGTCTTTCAGCGCTCTCTAATCCAGACTTACTCGTCTCTGCGTGCAATAACAAAGCGGCAGAAAAACGCTTCCAGGAACATACGGACAAAGTCCCGGTCTGACACGTCCGCGCGAAACAGGGCGCACCCCGCACTCTGGCCGTAAACCACTCCTATGCTCGCCGGGCTCCTTATGAGCCCTGGCGGCCCCTAAACAACCGCCCTCACAGAGCGGGTAGCACCGGACACCATGCACCAAACGCCTCTGCTAGCGGCTCCCGTCGCCCTCACAGGAACCCAGTGTCGCTCTCCGGCACTCCACTACTTACTACGAATTGGGACGCTTTAACAAAAAATAAGTGGGCGTTTACCCTCGCTACCTTACATGCTTTGTTGTACGCCATTTTGTCATAGAGAACATTTGAAAAAACGCTAGTAACTTTTGAACCACGATTCAGCATTGGATTTGAGCCGCTATAGCTACATTTGGGCCGAGTCTTAGCGTTCGACGATGCGTAGTTTATATTTAAGATTAAAAACGTTGAACCATTTCATTTTTGTTTAGGGGGTGGGGGGAGGGAAGGGGGGGGGGATGGGGAGAAGGAGCACATCGTACATCACAACCAAACTTCATTAATTCACTTAATAAACATTTATGTTCTAGATGCTCAACTCGGCACGCTGCGTGTAGGAATGCTTTAATAATGCTACACACAGAGCATTCCTAAACGTAAGTTAAGACTGCTTTCCCGTGCAGGAATACTTTCGCATTCCTGCACGTAAGCCGCGTTAATTGCCTCTGCAGAATTTTGTGTACTCGGCGCTAAAAAATGGCACAAATGTGCCGTCATTTTAAAGTCAATAACAGTGCATTGTTTGTGAATTCCCAAACATCTTATTCACGCTTTCAAGCCGGTAAGATTCCGGCAGTGACGGATAAGAGCGTCGGAGCACAAATCACCACAAAAGAATCCGGGCGCACTGGGCACCCACTGTGCTTTTTAAAGCAGTGCGAGCATTACGCTTTTATCTTTTCACACAAAATCTGGCCTCAGCTGACGCTAGAATCCCTCGAAACTAATCAAGCTACGCGAAATGTGCGTGGTTAAGGCGCTTGCTCTTTTTGTGGGCTAGCTATCTGCAACTAAACCAACCACGCACAGAGAAAAAAAAGAACGTAGGATTGCTGTTTATGCACTGTGGGTGATTGGTTAGTCGTCGATAGCGAACGCACAAAGGTGACGAGCTCCCTGACGGTGCAATTATGGCACTACGTTATTCACACCATCCCATCGCCGTGGGCAACGGTATAGAGCATAAAGTGGAAACGAGTACCATATTTGCTCGAGTAAAAGCTGCCGCTTTGTTATGAAGAAAGCCTGCGGGCCTGCCTTTCCGCGGCGCACGGGATGGAAATTCACCACTATCGGGAGAAAAATGTGCAATGATATACGGGACGAAGATAACACCTTCACGAAGAGAAAGCTATCAGCTCAGGTCGTATTTTTACGGAAAATCGCGCTCTCGACCCTGGCATTCACTTCTACTTTCCTTTTTTTTTTTTATTGAAAAACGCGACAATTTGTTGCATATTAGTTCTGGAGGAAAGTGGACGCAAGGGCCTTGTTTATGAGAAGTGCGGCTATCACTCCGGCAAATACGGTATAGACCAGTCTCCGAAATCCGAATGCCCACGGAAAAAAAAGGTGAAATGATAATCTCAAACTCGGGCTCTTGTGAAGCGAGGGACTGCGCATCAAACAAGATCTTTTTTTGTTTTTTCAGCATTCTTGGTATCGGTGGGTTTTTGTGTGTTTTTCTGAGGTTCGTGATAGCACATTTCTGATATTATTGCAGCACGATATGTGCGAAGGTTTCTAAACAAAGAGGCTCGTAGAAAGCGCAGCCCCCCCCCCCCCCCCCCCCCTTCTCTACTGTGTCATGGGGTTAGCATATGACCAAACATTTCGGCGCCTATTGAACTGAGGAGACACTGGCCTATACAAGCTGTTGGTTATTTGTAATTCTATAGTGCGAGCACCTGTGAAATCTAGAGAGAGATAAAATATACGGAGGTAAAGCTTGTTCCAAATGCTTGCTCTGCACCACATTTTGTGTTCCAGGGCAATGAACGAGGTTGTGGCTGCAGATCTTTTGGTCCCTCCACAGTCCCACACCACGTTCCTCAGCACGGTGGACGAGCACGGTAACGCGTGCTCTTTTATCGGCAGCAACTTCAACACGTTTGGGTGTACCATTGTTGAACAACACGGCTTCGCGGTACACGTGAGTCTACACATTCGTTCTTTTTTTGAGCAACCAATTGTTTAACGTAAAGAGCGGCCACCTTAGTGACGCCGTGGTCTCCGGTGTCCTTTCGACCTAGTGGGTTATGGCAAATGCCAGTTCACACATGCGGCGCAGCGCCGCGATGGCGCTTGAGGGCTGTATATTTACGGTACAACTAATGCGGTGCATGGCAAATAAAGCCTTCGCGTTTCTCAACAACAACAACAAAAAGAAAACGTGAGAATGCTGGCGTTTGCGGTAACTTCTAACGCTGTGCTGTATGTGTGGACAGGCCTTAATTGTGGCTGGTACTTGCCTTCAACTGATGTTCTTACTCCGTCGTGATTAGTGGCCCATCGAATTCCGCCTGATGACATCATAGAAGTGTCGTGATCTGTTGCCTGACGCGGTCATGGTGATGGCACAGCAGCGAAGGTGGATACGGTTGACGCTCGTTTTGGTGCAGGTCAATTTTCACCCCTTCAAACCGCAAAATCTCATTAAGCCGCGAGTTACGACGCGGCGAAGAAGGCGAATGCTGCGCTCCCGAGTACTTTTGGCCGAAATGTCTACAAGCAACCGCCTGGATAGCCACCGCCAACACGATAGACAAGATAATATAAACTACTTTATTGCCAACATGTATTTTGGTGCGTGGGCAGTATACGACGTTAAACACACCCGTCGACACGCGATCCAGGGATTGTAGCACTACACGGAAGTGGGGGGAGAAATGGCCAGCGATGAAAAATAGTGCTAAACCAAAACCAACGTTTTTGTTATTTTATTGCTCGTGGATGTTTGTGTAACGTTGGAGAATGAACGCCCATTTCCGTTCAGGTTTCTTAACTTTTATATCTGTGGTTTTTCTTTGTCAGTGTCTCCTTTCAAAACCCTTCAGTAATCGCAGTTCTAGTGAGCGATAATATAAGATTGGTCAACCACTCAATCTATGCTATCGTTGATCAATCGCAATTATGATGTCCAAGGGATTTATGTTTAAGAAAATTGTGGAAACCTGTGAAGAATTTTTATTCTTGTTCGAATGCTAAAGGCTGTTGGAATCTCTTGAAGGTTTGGTGGCATAAAATATCACATTTTGATGGCCTTAAGTATATCTTCTGTTACATTAAGATTTGTTTGAGAGAAATATGCGTTTTACTAGGGTACCTTAATGTGCGCTTCGCATAGAGTGATGCCAACTGCCTGTTTCCACTTCCGACACCCTCTTCCACCGCCATTTTGTTCCTCTCATTGTTTCCCCGTGCGCCGGAAAGTGGCCTTTGTGTCCGTCGGTCCTCCCATCCGAGGGGGGAAATGCTAATCCTCCCTCCGTGGGTTCCAAAGCGCTGCTCCAAACTTGTGAGGTAAGGTGCTTGTTTCCGGGAGGGTTATAAGCCCCACGGATTATTGCCGAGAGCCAAAATGGCTGCTGGCTTGTCGGCGAGCAGTACTACAAAAGGCGGCATCACCTTAGCAAAGCCCACATGAAGGCTCCCTACGTTTTACCTGTTGTCTTGTATTTCCCTGGTTTTCTAGCTTTTCTAGCTAGCTTTCTAGCTGGTTTTCTGGTTTTCTATTTCACCGGTTCTAAGCTACACATAACAAATATTACACATAATTCTAACCAGAGACAAAGGACTACAAGGGGGCAAGGGACAAACACACACGTCTCAAACGCAGCTTAATAGATTTTATTCACACATCATGTTTTATATCCCATCCTCTCACACGACCTCCACCGAGTTTCCATACGTTCACATAGCGGAAGCCACGCACTCCATAACACAGCCAAGGGTACAAAACATATACAGTTTTAAATATGCAGGTGTGTGTGTGTGTGTGTTTTTTTTTTTTTTTACTTAGCAGATTTGGTTAAAAAAACGCAAAAGTTACACCTATGCGGTTCGTGCAGGTGAGTTATACGGCCAACGGGACGTAGTATAGGGGGCTAATTGTAACGATATTTCGGCTAATTAATTAAAATTCGTGAATTACTTTTTAATTATTAATGAAAGACATATAGTTACAATTAGAAACTTGCTCAGCGTCATCAAAAACCACTAAATCAGTAATTTTCAGAAATACTATGAGCGTGTCAGGCACGTAGCCAGGATTTTGTTTCGGGGGGGGGGGGCCCACTTATGACAAAATGCTGTATGAGGGCGAGGGGGGAGAGATGGACCCATGCAAAATGGAAGATTTCGGGGGGGGGGGGGGGGGGGGGGGCGGCCCCCATGGGCCTTCCACTGGCTACGTGCCTGGAGCGTGTGCGAAGCGTAGTTGTATACTAAAGTTAGAGACTCTTGGAGCAGCTGCAAGGCTGGGGCTAGACAAGAGACTCGAAAATCGCGCGGGCGCCTTACCGCAACCGCTATCCGTTGCCCTCCACGAGTGGTAACTTTAGTGCGCTACTACTCTTCTCATGCGCTCAAAGTCTTTGTGAAAGTTAGTGATTTAGTGGTTTTCAATGACGCTCACCAAGTTTCTAATTGGAACCATATGTCTGTTTTCAATAATTAAAAACTTAAATAGCAAATTTTAATTAATTACCTGACTGACCGTTACGACTAGCCCCCGTAGCATAGGAAAGACAAAGATCCACATGTATTGGATCTTTGTCTTTCTAACTGCCCAATAGACAGCATAACTCCAGTTGTTGATCCTCTTGTGAGACCTGATGTGTTTCACCCGCCATTTGTCGTATATTGTGAAAAGGACATTTCACAGACATAAGTCCACCACTTACTGTTTTGGCAGTGGTAATTATTTGGGGTTGTACACATATCTTAGAGACTACAACTGGTCGACGGTTCTTGATGATCATTGTATTGATTCCGCGACTCAATCTTTGACAGATATAACGAAACATGCAATTAATTTGTTTATTCCTAAGCGGTTATCGAGACCCTCTAATCATCCGTTTTGGTTCTCGAAAGAATGAATACATTATATGCACAAAAAAGAGCACTTCCATAAATTGTTTAAGAGAACTGGGCTTGAGCTCTGGTACATAAAATTCAGCATTTATCGTGCGCTCGTAAAAAAGTTGTTTCGATATGATAAACGTGCTTATGAAAATAATGTAGAAAGTAGCCTATTCCATGAACCTGATAAAATTTGGAGATTTGTCAGGCAGCACACAAAGGAGCCAACACGGGTTATTTCTCTCCGTCATAATAATGTCTATGTAACTTCTCCTGAGAAAGTAGCTAACACTTTTAGAAATTATTTTAGTGAGTGCTATCCTACGGACGTTTTGATAAGTGCGCCCTCTATGAATAATGTTGAATGTAACGACACTTCGACTGTCAATCAAGTTGACACACAAGACATTCTGGAGGCAATACAAAAGGTAAAGCCTAAGCGGTCTGTAGGGGCTGACTCTATACCTAGTTTTGTTGTTAAGGGATGCGCTGCATTATTTGCCCCTTTATTAAAGCATGTTTTTAACCATTCATTGAGAACTGGAGTCTTCCCGTCTTTGTGGAAAAATTCAGTTGTAGTGCCGATACACAAGTCCGGTGACACGTCTAAGGTAGAGAACTATCGCCCTGTGTTTTTGTTATGTGCGTTTTCAAAGGTCTACGAAATTATTATACATGCCCATGTTTCTTTTTACTTCAGTCAAAAATTAGCCTCTGTTCAGCATGGATTTGTAGAGGGTCGATCTGTGGAAACGAACCTTTGTTCTCTACTGGATTACACAGTACCGATAATTGTTACGCGAGGACAAGTTGATATTGTTTATTTCGATTGATCTAAAGCCTTTGACAAGGTATATCATAAATTGCTATTGTATAAGCTCTCACTATATGGTGTATCTTCGACGCTTCTAGAGTGATTTAATAGCTATCTGTCTGAACGTCAAAATCGCGTACGTGTCTTGAATTGTTCGTCAGATGTTCTTGTGCCCAGTTCAGGTGTTCTGCAGGGGTCAAACTTAGAACCGCTTCTGTTTCTTGTATTTATTAGCGATATTGAAATGTGCGTAAAGAACGCGCAGATGCTTTTATTCGCTGATGATATTAAGTTCTTCATGAGAATACAATCTGAGGATGACTGCGCTCTTTTACAGAATGATGTGTCACATGTTTCAGACTGGTGTCTTGATAACTTTTTACTTATCAACCCTGATAAAACAAAACAACTTACCATGTGTAGAAAACGAGAAATGATTTCTTATCCGTTTCTACTTTGTAATTCTACTATCCAACGTGTCCTTAGTCCGTGACCTTGGAGTGTATGCTGACAGCAACCTTTCTTTTTCACATCATGTTAGCCAAATTGTTGCCTCTGGTCTTAGAGTGATGGGAATGATATCGCGCCTGACGCGGGACTTTTCAAATCATTGGTGCGTGGTGCGCTTGTTTTGCTCCTTGGTTAGGGTTAGACTCGAGTTTTGCAGTGTTGTGTGGAACTCGCTGAATTCATCTTATGCGGCACAAATTGAAAGAGTGCAGAAACGATTTATTCGTATTGTTTATGATAGGTACCTTGGAAGGAGATGTTTCTACGACTGCGAATATAATCTTAAAGATTTATTGTTGCAGAACTTGTTAAATAGAAGAATAGCTCGCGACGTTCTATTATTACATAAGGTTGTACACGGTCGTGAAGATAGTGAATTAGTGGCATCGTTAAAATGTCACATACCGGCACGTCTTGTTAGAAGATTTAGTATATTTTACTCTTCCTTTCAATCGAAATTGTCACCGATGGCAAGGATGCAGATTTGTGGTAATGAACTGTCCTCTCATGTTGATATCTTTTCAGATATATCAGTGTTTAGAAGGGAGCTAAATTTTTATCTTTTTGATTCCTGATTGCATGTTAGTCTGTTCTTTTTTCAAGCGGAAGACGTTGTGTTAAGTCAAGTACTACCATTTTATGTGCCAGCACACTATGACCTAGTGGTCGATCTGGAACATGATTCAAATAAAGCATTATTATCATTATTATTATTACATGCCATTTCCACCTGGCCGTATAAGTCAGCTGCGCAAACAGCGTAGTATAACTTTCACGACTTCTTTTAAATAATTTTGTTAAGTTAAAAAAGACACCCGGTATATATACACACAAACACACAGACAGACAGACAGACAGATAGACAGACATATAGACAGACATATAGGCGGACAGACATATAGACAGACAGATATATAGACAGACAGACATATAGACAGACATATAGGCAGACAGACATATAGACAGACAGACACATAGACAGACACAGACATATAGACAGACAGACAGACAGGCATATAGACAGACAGACATATAGACAGACAGACATATAGACCGGCAGACATATAGACATACAGACGGACAGACAGACACATATAGACAGACAGACAGACATATAGACAGACAGACAAACAGACAGACAGACATATAGACAGACAGACAGACATATAGACATATAGACAGACAGACAGACAGACAGAAATATAGACAGACAAGCAGACATGTAGATATATAGAAATGTATATATATGGACATGTAGATATATAGACATGTAGATTTTTCGACAGCTCTCTTTCCCTTTCCCTAACTTTAATGCAATAAATTCAATAATCACCTTCTTTCCTCTTCGTTCACAATATTACGACGGCTGCACTTGTCAATCTTCACTCATTCCCATTATATATACGGTGCAGCCTATCCCCATGGGGAGGAATGGTTCCCTAGATACCTTGGAAGACGGGCCCGTTCCGACATTTGCAAGCTGAGTTGACGTGCCACGTCACTGCCACATGTCGGAAATAACGCGGGCCTTAAATCAGCAACGGTTGTCGTCTACCAAGTTAAGCGAATTCGAAACTAAACAGTATACAGAGAGCTGGTCAGAAATTGAGTCCGCCGAAACCAGTGGCCGGGATGGTCTAATCGGTTAAGCCGTCGCCCCGGCCAGGCGAAGGTTGCGGGTTCAATCCCCGCTCCTGGCCCAATTTTTCGCAAGCTCTATTTCCCTTTCCCTAACTTTAATGCAATAAATTCAATAATCACCTTCTCCCCTCTTCGTTCACAATATTACTACGGCTGCACTTGTCAATCTTCACTCATTCCCAATATATATATATACATATATTTGTATAATTGGTTGTGTTATTGAGGTTTCCTGTTAAAATAATCTGTAAGGTTAACCAGCTCGCCTATTTATTAATATTATTTTATACCAACTATTTCAGTTTAGTTACTTGACTAATATACAAAACTTCATTATAAAGTATTTGCAAACTTCGACAAAGAACGATACTAGGCAACTGTAGCAAATACGGATTAAAACAAACAATTCAGATGATAATTGATGTGGAACCTGTTGAAATCGACGAACACATGAAATCAAGATAGTAATATATATATATTTATTTTTTTTTCTCACAAAAACAGTTTCGGAAAAGACAACTGAGTTCTTCGAAACTGAATACAAGTTCAGTCATGTTTGAAATCGATGCTTCAACGTTACTTGGGAGAGGTGCGATCTGCCCCATTATTTACGTGTGAGAATCGTCTAAGTGTCCGGGGTCTGCTAGGAAACGCAAAATATTTTATTGCCTCTAAACCTAAACTTAGAAAAAAATGATTGCCCGAAGCCAGCTTTTTCTTCCTACGTTTACGTCGAAATGTGCTTCCTAAGACGGAGACTTAAGCGCTAATTGAAGCTACGAGATCGAAACTCGCACGTGTTTTGCCACCATCTTGCAAGCTGTGATTGGTTTCCGACTTTCTGCGAGATATTCAAACTGCCAACAGCAATAACCACCAGACTTTCAATAGCAAGAATATTCAGTCAGCTGTATCGAAAATCACCCACCGAGACCTTGAGAAGACCGTAATGCTGACGTGGACGAAGCAGATAATCAAACTGATGATTGATGGCCCATGGAGTGGGAGGATATATGAAAGTTACAACAAAGAGTGTGGGACATTTTAGTAACTCTGAATGCTTCATCCACAATCTATCTTTATTCAGGCCATATCTTATGTAAATTTCAGCCGATGTTCCAGGAGTATGCATCCTTTAAACTTTCAAATAAATGTTTCTTGTTTTTTGTTTTTTTTTTTAACTCTGGGATGTCTTCACAGATTGGGCACTGGTCTTTACTACTTAGAAATTTTAGATCATTACGAGAATTTGCAGTTTGCGTGTGTTATTCTTTCGGATACACAAAGTGCTATTATATATTTTAAATCACAGTATATCATTTACATGGTTAGCAAAATTTAACTCACTTCTAAGGGGATTCTAATATGGAAATTGTTTTACGTGTCTTCTTTTTTTTATATTGGAAAATTTTAAATATTTTGGACACTGTTACTAGCCCTCTATATTTCATTAAAACCAAATGAGCTATTGCAGCTTGCTCTTGATGCAACTAAGTGTGCCTAAATTTGTGTACAAGAAACAACTATTCCATTAAACTTTTTCTGTCCCTGAGCATAATATATAAACGCTACATTGAAACGAACGAATGTACCAGAAGAACGAAAAACAAAACTTGATAATCAGTCGGAGTTTCAATATCCTTGAGAAAAAATATAAAACCATATTTTTCTCCCCGCATGTGTCTTCCCTTAACGCTATCTCACGGTTCATCTCAATTCCGTAACAGAACCGAGCCATGGGTTTTGTGGGAGTGGAAGGACACCCGAACTGCATTGGCCCACTTAAAAAGCCCTATCACACATTGATGCCGGTGATGGTTGCGGACAGTTATTCCGGCGAGTGGGTGGCAAATATAGGATCCATGGGAGGATATCTACAGCCCCAAATCGTTCTGCAGGTAGGTGGTGGCACTGTCTCTCTGGCACAGTATCAATAGCTAAACGGTTCCAATTTTGAACTTTCGATGTTGTTCAACTTGCTTGAACTCGCACCCAGTTATCTACGCATATATTACCATTAGCGCATGTTGTAACTCACGACTGGAAGCAAAACCCGAAACTCGCTCACTTTTGAACATCCACGTATGACTCATCATCAGTGTTTTACTTGGACTAACTCAAACCCTCAAACTCATGAGGTCACTAATTCAATCTCATGACTCTTTTCGGGCTTGGAAATTCATCCACCTCGCCTGAAATTGTGAGGTGAAGGTAAGTGAGAGTAAGCGAGCTACACCATAGAAATGCTATTCAGCGGCATGTATACCTACGTAAAAGTAAAAGCAGAAGAAAAATGAACTTGAAGACACGATAATATTTAGGGCCTTGAGGTTTTTATATGTGTAGTCCGGTGATTTGTCAAGCTAGCCCAACTGAATATATTTTCGAAATCGCCGGCTCCTATCCCGCCCGCTATGCTATATAGTAGAGGGAAAGTTAGAAGAGTTATTGTGAAATCGGCAAGCAAATATTATGCCAAAGCCACCAGTAAATATACCCGCAATTTTCAGTGCCGCGACGTGAGGGGAAGGGAGGCTTGCAGGTTGTGCGGGTACTCTAAGAATACACTACGCCAAGCATTAGTTTCGCGCCGCTGCGCGGGTGCTGGAGTGAGCTTCTAAATCATCCATTTCACACCTTTAAGCTGCTTTTAACCAGTTGAGAACACTACATTTCAAAGAGTGAACCCCTACTTTCCTCTGACGTCACTTTTTTGTTGTTGCTATGCCCGTTTTCAGCTAAAAAAAAAAGAAAGTTCTGCTCAATGTTCATACGCCGCGCGAAGTAGTTCTTGCAAGATTTGGTTCTTGGAGGCAGACGCGATGCTTATGACTTCGAAACATATAGGTGTTGATAAAATAACACCTATATAATCTAAAATCTACCTACACATACCTCAATTCTCAGCCTAAAGAGAAAAATTTTTAATGCTCCGCGACAAGCCGTACTTTTTTCTACTGCGGTTCTTGAGGTAAAAACGAGTATAGTAGAGACTTTAACAAACACGGTGAGTATTAAAATTGTAAATTCACTACATTTGCGAAACAAGTTATCTTGGCCCAATATGTCGATTACTATTTCAGCGATGTTTATTGGTGTGTTTAACCAATTTTCAGGCAAATCAGGACTATGAAGAAAACGCTAGAGTACCCCATTAAGGTGTACAGAAAGGAAATATTTTGCACTAAGTTCTTAGGAGTGGTCTTGGTTTTCTCGGCAGCGTAGAAAAATTAAACTAGTGTTTCTGGCCTGCCGTCAAAAAGTGTAGAAAACTAATTTTAAAACGATTTAACATATATCAAAATTGCGCCCCGTGGCGGTCTGGGAAGCTAGTTTGAGTGCCGCACGGTATGAGTTTCAGGGGCAGCGCCAGTTCTGGGGGGTATGGCTCGCTCATAGAGTTACTAGGGCCTTTTATGCACAGTTGTGTTTGAGTGCGTTTCACTGCGGTGCAGCCTCAGGGAAGCAGAAAATTCGCGCTTGTTATGTCGCGTGCCAAGCTATTCCTTCAATTGGATTCAACGCTCCAACGAAGCACATATGTACCGGGGACTCTCTTTTGTTTTTCGACGCTACGCAGTCAAACGCACTCAAATGCATTCAAAGGCAACTATACGTAGAGGCCTTTCAATTTGAGTTAGTGGACAACGCTATCGCGTTTCGAACGTTGCATATTCACTGGATTCCATATTTGAGGATGATGTTTAGAGCGCAAGCCCAGAACGAGCTCACATTAATAGCTTTCTAAGACCGGCAATCTCGATGGCGCAGAATACACGTTGCAAAAGAACGGCGGAAGCTTGCCGTCACCACGCGCTCAGAAGCCGCGCAAACAGCTATGGCCGCAAGTGAATAAATACTCCGTACATGTAAAAGGTTCCAGAGTGCTTCCGCAATGTGCACTCTACAGCATTGAGATCGCCGTTCTTTGTAGGCGTTAAGTAGGAGCTTGATCTCAGGACGCAGCAGCCTCTGCCAGACCAACCGTGCACCCCCCCCCCCCCCCCCCCCCCGGGATGCGCTTTGAATAACGCGGTCAAATATGCCACCCATTGAATAACTTAGGCTCATTCAATTTACTTGCACCTCCTACATCGGCGCAGAAAAGTGTAGGGAAGTGCACTTCCGGTATGTGTATTGTGATACGACCGGAAGTACAGCTACCTACACCTTTCTGCACCGGTGCAGGAGGTGCAAACTAATCGAGCTTGACTAATACATACATAGCTTGCAAGCGTCGCCATCGCTGTGTACACAGGTTTACTTCGACCCACCCGTTCCCTCGAGCTACTACTTCTGGGCTGTGAAACTAACACGGTGAACCGAACCCTCGTGGCGCACAAAAAACCGTCGTGCACGCGAAAGACGTCCTGCGCAAGTTGTGTATAGGGCATAGAACGTGCAGTCTCCGGATATTACTACCAAGTGATATTGCCACGCGTTGACGTCTGCAAGCGGCAACGCTCGCAACAAGAGCGGAGGGCAAAGCGCATATGAAGGCACCCTAGGGGAGGGCGTCTATGCACAGTTGCTTTTAAAGGCGCCTGAGTGGCTTTGACTGCGTTGCGAGTGCGAGAATCCCACACGTTCCTGCTTCTTATGTCGCGTGCCAAGGTATTCCTTGAATGGGATTCCAGGCTTTATATGAAGCACAAATGTACCGATGACTGGATTTCGTTTCTCGTCGTAGCGCAGTATAAGGCACTTAAACCAGACTTGTACACGTTACTGAAAATTAGTAAGAAATTACATTTACAATTACTCAAGGCTAAATTATAATTTATTATAATTACAATTACCCTCCCAAAAAGTAAGTGGCCGCTAACCCAAAAAGTAATCCGTCACTTTTTTGGCGTTACTTTCAACAATATTGTTTTCGGTTAAGAAACAAATGGGAGCCGGTTATTCAAGTTCTTATTGTTGCAACCTGTTCCATTTAATGACCCTGAATATGTTGAGCAACAGCTGACTCTTGAAGTCTCGTCAGACATTTTGTGGTATTCCTTACTCAGTATGTAAACTGCCACGCCGAACACGCTTTGAACTGAGGCACTGGATGGGAGTGCCCTATTGTTCCTCACGAATATTGTATGCTCTGCATTGGGCTTCTGCAGCGAAGCAACGGAAGTACTATTTACCTCAAAGATAGAGCAAAGCTTCGTCGCTGTAGCCAGCGCCTGATATTCGAGAGTTTAGGTAGATCGCTCCGATACCTCCGATACCACCGATGACAATATGATGAATGCGAAAAGGCGGCGGCGGATTATCGGGTATCCTTCTCGGAGTCATCAGAGCGATCTACTAAAATTCTCCATTGTCTAAATCGCGAAGCAGTAGAAGGCATCATACACCTAGCCAAAACTAGGATAAGAATTGATGAATGTCCATCTTACTATACCGGCTCATATTGCCAGGATATAGCAAAACATACTTGTAACAGTAAGGTGATAATTGAATAATAAATAAGGTTTGGCTCGATATTCTTCTTCCTTTGGTTCGGAACATGTCAAGCCTTGGTTGAGACGTTGGTGAATGAAAAAAAGTTTCCAGTATATAAATATAAGTAATCGAAAAAAGTAAACTCATAACAACAATTATTAGAACGCCGATTAAAACAAGGAAATGTAAACGTACGTTTGCCGTGCGCACCTTTTTAGATGCCGTTCAAAAACGCACGGAGCCCGAAGAGACTGCAGTTTATTTCGGTGTTCTCCAGATAGACGTCTGCTGAGGCCACAGCTAGGCAGCGAAAGGCAGAGTACTGTGACCCGCGCTCACGAGTTTCCCTTTCTTGTCAAGCCCAGGATATCAAGTATACGTTAGACAAAATAAATGAAATAGCGCAAATCAACAAGGAAGGAAGGACGAGGTAGACAGGAAGGGCGCTAAATTGACAACATCACTCACAGATATCATCAGCAACTCACCTTTTTCATAAATTTAATTTTAAATTTTTACGTATAACAACTTTGAAGGTGTACGTTTCTTTCTTTTAAGCAACAACATCAGTAACTTATTTCTTCTTCTCCTCCTTTATAGACCGTGTTAAACGTCAGTAGTCAGTTCATCGCGCTTCCTGTCTACCTCGTCCTTCCTTCCTTGTTGATTAGCGCTATTTCATTTATGATGAACGACCAACTAGCCCGCCAGCTCATCTTTTTACGTTAGACACCAATATGTTAAATTTGTGTAAATATCTGCGTGAAATAAGATGCGTCCTGCTGGGGTAAAAAGAGGAAGAAGAACGCTGACTCACAAAAAGTGTGACTGAGATGCAGATAACCTGGCTGAAATTTACAAATAAAGTGGGCCAACCCTAGAAGTTGGACTACAAAAAAGTAGCTTTTAAAACAGGGTCAAATAAGGTGAAAGAAACAGAAAAAAGTACATCCTGTTTTCTAAGAGAAGTTTATATGTGTGCAACAACGAACGAGGATGCTTGTGGCAATAACACCTTCACATATTAGAGAGTTTTAGTAGATCGTTCCCATGACTCCGATAACGATATCCCGATACTTCGCCACCGCCTCCCTTGCGCATGCATAGTATCGTTATCGGGGCTATCGGAGGTATCGGAACGATCTACTAAAACTCTCTATTATCACATCTTTTTTAGCGGATTTTAGGGTAACGGAGCGTTGTCTCGTTGTTGTGGCTTTATGAAAATGGTCGTAGTCACTCTAACCTAAAAGGACATTGTTAGTTATTGTCTGTGCACTTACCTCCTCGAGCTTCTCGAAGAAGCAGACAATCACTTGCTGTCCTCCTCTCTCCGTCTGCGATCGCAAAGAAAAAATAAAGGGAATAAAAAAGCGGACATAACTTGCCCCCCCCCCCCCTTTTATTTGTAGGAATGCTCTTTTAGATTTCTTGACATTGTTTTAGGGTCTAAAAAAAG